TTTTCCCCTAAAAGGCAAATAATTCTCTGCTTCCAGGGGCATGGCAGAACCTAGGGTCCTGCTTCGTGAATCTCCTGCTGAGATGTGCCAGAAACTCCACATCATATCATTTCCCACCACCACCACCACCTGCTAGACCATATGGCTGGGGCAGCACAACTGCTTGCATCACAGCCTCAACCAATTACAAAACCTCTTACTTTTCTGGATTCTTCTCAAACTTGGAAGTCTTCCAAGTCACCCAGTATTTGGGCCAGAGCACTATTCATAGGTGTGGAATATGCCATTTCCAGAACCTGAAAAGATCCAACAGTATCTTCCTTTATTGATGGCTGGAGGTGCAAGATGCAATAATTGTCTTTGCCTTTTGGAAGGGATGCCCTAGGGCACCACTGACCATTGGATCGCTAAAAATGTTACAAATGTAGCAAGTCTCTGAATCTTCACAGGGTTTATCTGTTACTCTCTGGAGCGCCTGTATCTTACCAAGGCCTCCAGCATCTTTGTAATATTATTGATGTAATGGAGCAGTGTGATATGCTTCAGGATGGTGAAGTCTTTGGACTACAAGAGAGCAAGAAAGGTAATAGCCTTCAGGCAAAACTGCATCTGTGTTCCATGTGAATGTGAAATGCTCCTGATCCTTTTGTTTCTGATGGACAGAAAAGAACACACCAAATCGGTAGCCACCCCCCGCATCTGACACAGAAACTACTATCAGGGCTACCACTCTGTTGAGTTTGCAGTGTACTGCCATCCTCCAGGATCCAATTTCTGCAGGGATCATACTGGTGAATTTAAGACTTGGAGGACCACCATGCTGTATCCTTTAGATCCTTAAAAGTGGCCCCCAGTTCTGCCACTGTCCCCCCCAACCCCAGAGATTCTATGATCTTGACTGGAACAGATCAGTTTTAGAGGTTTCCATTTGACTTTTCCCGTTGTGATAGCTTTAACCCTACAGGTCAGGGACCCAACTTGGGAGTAGTGTTAATTACCAAATATATCAATGCCAATTATTCAGTTTGGGACACGGGAAATGACCACCAAGCAGGTCCACAGAGCTGGTGGGCCTACTGTAAGCTGGACCTTGGGGAGGACTCCATTAATTATCTGGCCACCATATGCAGCCACTCTGACAGGGGAGCCGTGATGATAATGCAGATGTCTGGATATCAAAGTCAATTCAGACTTTGTGTACATCAGTCTTTAGAATATTTGGCTATCCACTTTCCCCCTGGGTGTAGTTATCAAAGGAAATGGCTATTAGACTCTGGAAAAGGACTTCAGGATTCATTTCTGTTATGTACTTGTGGTATACTGCAGGGTCCTTCTTGGTATTTGGCCACCTCTTCAGTACCACATCTGAAAACCAGCTCAGTCCAGAAACTGGCTGTTTGATCCTGATTTTCTTATTCATCCATCCTTAACTTTTTTCTGCTGGTGTCTTCAACTGCCCATCCATTTTGCCTCTAGGGATGCTGTGTTTTATTAACCATTTCTGCAACTGTCCACAGGTCAGGGTCCCTTGGCTACCACTCAGACCTTGCTGGCCACTGTAATTTGCAGTACTGACTTCTGTCAGCTACAAGCTCCTTCCTGGCCTCTTTTCTACTAGGATTCACCCTGCCCCCCACCCCCCCAATGCTGTTCTGAAGCAACCTTTCCTACTGTCAGCTCTTGCCTACAGGGGTGAGCCACCACTGACTAGTGGGAATGGCCATGTGTGTGTATGCTGGCTGACGCCTCCAATCTGTGCTCCAGCATCGACTGTCAGACATGTGAGTAAATGAACCTTCAGGTCATTCCAACCTCCAGCCTTCAAGCTGTTCCAACTGAAGCCCTAGATGATGTAGGTCAATTCTACTATGCCCCAGCCCTCAGCAACTTAGGATAATAAATGATTCTTGTTTTAAGCCACTAAGTGTGTAGTAATTTGTTATATAGCAATAGACATAGCATCACTTTAGAAGTTTGCTACCAGTCTTTGCCTAGGTGTTAAATCCTGTATCTTAGAAGACTGATCATAAGTCTTCTACCAACTTTACACTCCAGTTTTCCTCTGATTTCTGCAGGGCTCCTGCCGGTGAATTAAACAAGGATGCTGGGGACCACCACTTATCAAGCACACTTATAATCCAGCCTCACAAAAACTTGCCTAGCTCCTGGCAGTTGGCTGGTTCTTACAACCTGTCATGGACTAAACTGTATCCCTGGAAAAGATGTTTAAGTCCTAACCCGCGGGTACTTATGAATGTAACCTTATTTGGAAATAGGGTCTTTACAGGCGATCAAATTAAGTATTATAATTAGGGCAGGTAAAAATCCAACCTAGATAGCATATTAAAAAGCAGAGACATTACTTTGTCCACAAAGATCCATCTAGTCAAGGCTATGCTTTTTCCAGTGGTCATGTATGGATGTGAGAGTTGGACTGTGAAGAAAGCTGAGTGCCGAAGAGTTGATGCTTTTAAACTGTGGTGTTGGAGAAGACTCTTGAGAGTCCCTTGGACTGCAAGGAGATCCAACCAGTCCATCCTAAAGGAGATCCATCCTGGGTGTTCATTGGAAGGACTGATGCTGAAGCTGAAACTCCAATACTTTGGCCACCTCATGTGAAGAGTTGACTCACTGGAAAAGACCCTGATGCTGGGAAGGATTGGGGGCAGGAGGAGAAGGGGATGACAGAGGATGAGATGGCTGGATGGCTTCACCGACTCGATGGACATGAGTTTAAGTAAACTCCGGGAATTGGCGATTCACGGGGTCGCAAAGAGTCGGACATGACTGAGCGACTGAACTGAACTGAAAAACCCAATAACTGGTATCTTCAAAAACAGGGAATTTGGACACAGAAACAGACAAACATATAGGGAGAAAGGCACATAAACATCAAGGCAGACTGGCACAATGCATCTACAAGCCAAGTAACACCAGATTGCCAGCAAACCACCAGAAGCTAGCAGAGGAATAGAAGATCCTTCCTTCACAGCCCTGTCACTTCATTCTAACTTCCAGCCCCCAGAACTGTGAGATAAACTTCTGTTAAGCAATCCAGTTAGTGGCACTTTGTTGCTGCAGCTCTGGCAAACTAATATGTTCTTTTGAGGGGAAGGGGGTTATTGTTCAGCTGAATTATACTAAGAAATAACCATAATTATATGCCTATTGTCCAACAGATTGGGGAGTGGGGGGTTAGGTTGGTAGGGAAAGGTGAGCCACATGGGCAGGCTCCAGAGGTTCAAGACAGTCGAGGGGGTAGTGTGGGATAGGGTGAGGGTGGGGGGTGAGAAAATCTTTGACGGCATCTACCCAGATTTCCCTAACCAGGATCCCAAACTTAGCAAAACAGAATTGTCTTGATTGGGTGTTTACCATCATAGACTCTTGAGCCTAGTCCTTGTCTTTCTTGTTTCAATGAAGGAAATGAGGATTTCTTCGCATGCAATCAAAGAGACTCCATCACTTTCAATGGTCTATTGGTAGCCATCAGCTGTCCATCATTTTTCTGAAAAGCATCAGTAGCATTAAGGAATACTGGAGTGGGTTGCCATGCGCTCCTCCAGGGGATCTTCCCCACCCAGGAATAAAACCTGTATCTCTTATGTCTCCTGCATTGACAGGCAGGTTCTTTACCACTAGCAGCACCATTTAGATGATGCCCACTTCCAATATCTTTCCTTATAGCTAATATTTCCATCATAAAACGGTCACTAGGGCATTCATTCACTTCACTGGTTCACACTCCTACCTCAACACAGGTGAAAAATTAACTGGGGCAAGCACTGCTCATCAGAGGCCTTCTGTATTGGTCCAGTGGCCAGATCGTTCTGCTGCCTCTGTCACCTGAAGGATGTGATGTAGGAAAGTGACCCTCTGCCTACAGTTGTGGTTACTCACGTCCACCACAGTCCAGTGCTGCACCAGGCAGACACACTTCCCACCGCACTGCGCAACAATTCCCTCTGGATTCTCGAGTGTGTGTGTGGGGGTGGGGGGGCTCAGTGCAGCTCCACTACCCAACCCCCCCAGGCCCCGCACGTCTGTAGTTCCCTCATGTCTGTCCTCGCACTTCCCAAGGTCACCGAACCGTCTGAAATTGCTGCTGGAGCTCCTTCCAAGGCTGTTTTGAAAAGCACTTGGGCTAACACACGTCTTAACGGGTCTATAAAGGACGCCCAAAGGGGCCCGGGGTGTCTAGCTGGCTCCTGGGAGTTGTGAAAAGCCCCACGAGTGAAGCCCACCCGTGTTGGAAGGAAAGCATGTGGACGCATTCCTCAAGAACAGGCCCAGCGCGCCCGGAAGCCTCAACGTTCTCCATCTCAGCTGCACCCCACCGTCCGCGCGGATTCCACACCAGTGCCCGCTGCTCGCCCGCCTAGGGGCCTGAAGGATCGCCGCGCACTGACGCCCCCCTGAGTCCAACGGCTCTAGCACACGGGCTGAGAGAGGCCTCGTGCCCAAGACCCCAACACTGAGCTGGCCGCCCTCTCAGCGGAGCCGCCGCTCCGGCCGGTCCGCGATCCAAGCCTCCCGCGCAGAGCCTCTCGGGAGTGACTTTCTCCCGGCTCAGTCAATGGAAGTCCGGGACGGCTTCGCCGCGTCCTCGCAGCCAATGGCAGCGAGCGTCTGGTGTTGCTGGGCGGGGCCAGGCGCCCACCAGGCTGGCGACCCGCCGCACACGCGCGCTCCCCTGCCCTCTCTTCCCACCGCGCACGCGCGCTCCGTGCAGGGCCGGCAGGGCTGTCGGGGACGCGCGGGGCGGTGGCGGCGGCGGCAGAGGAGCTGCCCGCGCTCGTGCCCGCGCCCGTGTCTCTGTGGAGCCGCCTGGGCCGCCCCCCTGCCTGCCACCTTGGCTCCCCGAGGGCCGATGCGGGCCGCGGGGCTGAGGGGAGCGACGTAGCTGTCGCCCGCGCGGCCACCTGGGCTGGGCCTGGCGCGACCCCGGCCCCGACCCCGCCCGGCGCGAGGCGGCCGGACGGCAGTCCTGCTGCGGGGCCATGGCCGAGCGCGGGTGCCCGTTGGAGGCGGTGCCGCTGCCCGCTGAGGTGCGGGAGAGCCTGGCCGAGCTGGAGCTGGAGCTGTCGGAAGGTGAGCGGCCCGGAACCCGGACCCCCGCCCGGCTCTCCTCCCAGACCCCTGCCCACACCCGGCCCCACCTTAATGCGACCCGGACCCCCGCCCGGCGCTCACACCCGGGACCCCGACTCGCGTCCGGCTTCCGGCGCCCGGCCGGTGGCCGCGCTTTGGGTGTGTGGCCTCAGGCGCGGAAACCCGGACGGGGATGACCGCTGTGTCCGAGCGGGCTGCCCAGCCAGGGCCCGCGTGTCAGCGCGTAGGGACGGCGCCGGCTGCATGCCCGCGTGCCTCGGTTTCCCCTGCGAGACAGGGTGGTCGCCGCACCTACCTCTCGGGATAGTTGGGAGCCTGGAGTGCTTTAACAGGTGCAAAGCGCTGAACACTTTGAACGAGATTGTTAGCCCCTCTTAGGGAATTTTTTAAAATTAAGAAAGCATGTGCAGTAAGTGGTTGGTTGTTTAAAATAGACTGAGTAATTGGGCCTAAGAGGCGTGGGTGGCGTTACCCCCTGTAACCTCCAGGCTCAGGTCCCGAATTCCGCGTGGCTGTCAGCGCAGAGTTAGGTCTTGGCCGGGGTCGGGAGACCTCGCAGCCCTCGGAGAGAAGCATCTAAATGCGTAACTGTTTTTGAAATTTAAATACATTTTCAACTTTTAGAATCCATTTTTTCCATAGACGGAACCGGGTTTCACTGGAATCAGGCTAGTGAATTCTTACAACTATCTAATAAATATGCACAGGGTTGTGCTAACTCACCAAATCCTCACCCACCTTAGGGAGGTAGGTGGTGCTGTTATCTTCGTTTTACAGGTAATACAGCATTTACATGCAACTGCTTTGAATTTAACATCCAGATTTTTAAAAGTTCTGTGACATGTGACATTTTTCTTTTTTTCAATGAAACTGCTACTGGAAAAGGGTGGACTTGAGAATTCTTGGTGATGAGATGCTCTTGGAAAATCTGAAAAAACTGAATTTAGGAATGTTTCTGACAGGAACTACTGGCCTGAGTTTGTTCTAGTTCTTCATCCAGGGAAAATCATATAGTTACAGTTTAGATTTTACACATTTCAAATATGTTTTTGAATAGTGCTCCTAATTTCTGCTCCAGTGTGTTAGTTATTCCTTCAGGTCCTTGTTTTGTGGTTGTGTGTTTGAATTCTTCCTGGGAGTTGACAGATAAGGTTGAGAACTTCATAATTTGTAGGACAGAAAACACGTTAAGACAAGCATTTCAACAAAAGAAACACTGCTCTATTGAATCCTTTTATACTGTTGTCATTTTAGCCGTATGTAGAAGATGTATATTTGCATAAAAGGTATAAGATTAAGTGTATGTGGATAGTAGCTTAAGCTGGGGAAGTGAAGACAGTGTTGAAGGGAAGGGACAGCAGAGTGTAGTGCAGCCAAGGAGACCGGAGCCGTGGCCTCTGTCCTACCCCCTACATCAGTAAAGTTTTATTTATATAAGTAAAGGAAGATGTTACTAATGAAATATGGTTCTAAAGCAACCCAGACTAGTTTCATTTTCATTGTCATTTTAATATTTTCAAGTAGAATTGGAAAGTGGGACTTTTATTTGCCCTATGTGATGTTTCTCTCCTCCCCACACACTCACTCCCCACCACTTTAGAGAAATGTCTAAAGTAGAATGCTGCTGTGTGCAGTTGCTCAGTCATGTCCGATTCTTTGCGACCCCATGGACTCTAGCCCACCAGGCTCCTCTGTCCAAGGAATTTTCCAGGCAAGAATACTGAGGTGGGTTGCCATTTCCTTCTTCAGGGGATCTTCCCAACCCAGGTATTCTCCTGCATCTCTTGCATCTCCTGCATTGGCAGGTGGATTCTTTACCACCGCACACCTGGGAAGCCCCTAAATTAGAATAGTAATGTCAAAATTGGATGCCTTCACAGCAGTCACATTTGTCTGGATGAGTTAAAACTTAGAGGTGACAGCGGGTACAGGGTGGAGGGAGAAGGAAACAGCACAGACCGAACAATGCTGAACTGCTTAAAAATGAGGATGATGAGTGAGTAGGTGGAGCACAGGGGATCTTTAGGGCAGCAAAACTGTTCTATGTAATACGGTAATGGTAGACACAAGTCACTATGCATTTGTCAAAACCCATAGAATGTAGAACACAGAGTTAGCTATGGACTTTAGTTAGTAATAATTTATCAATACTATCTATCAGTTGTAACATATGTATCCCATTAATACCAGTCCGGGATGTGGTGTGTGCACAGAGGGGGGATATGTGGGAAGTCCCTGTATTTTCGAATACTTTTTTTGTGAACCTGAAAAAAAAAGAGAAGAGAATAATGGTGTAAAGTTTATTGTTTGTTTTGGTGGCCTGCAGAGATTTAGAGAGGAAATTCCTACACAATAGGTTACATTTGTCCCACTCCTGTGTTTTCATCCTGGTTAGTAGGTCTATTCCATGGCTTTAACTTTGTTTTTTGTTTTCCTGTATTCTGATACAGCAGGGGCTTAGCCTGGACGGAATCGAGCAGAAAGCAGAAAAGCTCCATTTGTGGATGTGAGGAAGGAACTTCTTTTCACAAAGCCTTTTTTTCTCATTAAACGTCTTTGATTTCTAAAATTTGTGATCTAATTCTTAGTTTTCAAAATGACAGCCTGACATTGCCTTCATGTCGATAAACATTTGTTGTGCTTCTTAAATATTCTGTGGTATATGAAAGTTCTCAGTCCAAATTCCATTCACCTGTCAAAGCCCAGCCTGGTGTCTTTGTGCTGTGACCCTTCCCTCATACTTGTCCTGTCTTTTGGAGTTCTTGCCACTTTCTGTTTGTGTGTGTGTGTGTGTGTGTGCTTCTGAGTACTTAAAGACTCTTTTGATGGGCTCAGTGGCAGTGTTAATCAATGAGTTTTTTTTTTTTTTTTAGTATTAACCCCACCCTCACATAAGGACTGCCTTAAGCCTATAGGTGTTTTTTTTGTTAAATAGTTTACATATTTCTTTAATGTATTTTGGTTGCAGTGGATCTTGTTGCTGTCCTTGGGCTTTCTCTTAAGCATGCGAGCTTCAGTAGTTGCAGTGCGTGGGCTTAGTGGTTGTGCATGGGCTTAGTTGTTCCTCAGCATGCGGAATCTTCCCAGACCAGGGATCAGAACGTGTCCTCTGCATTAGCAGGTGAATTCTTATCCACTGCGCCAGCAAGGAAGTCCAGAGTGTGAGTTATTGATATTATTTGGTGAAATATGTCCACGTTTGAAAGAGCTGCATAATTCTGTGAACCGATATTTTCCAACTGGCCAGTGCATCATGGTTCAGATCTGTGCATGGGTGAAAGACCCATTCAGACATATACCAATGGATTGCAACATAACAGTATGATAAGTTCGTTGATAAGGTTTTAGATTCTACATTGCAACTATTGTTTAAGAACCTGCAGTTTGCCTAGTTTGGGTGTGGTATTGAAAAATGTCCACAGTGAGCTGAAAAGACTACTGAAATACTCCTTGCTTTTCTAGCCCGTGTTTGTGTGAGGCTGATTGTGTTTCGTAGACCTTAACCACATATCCTGCAGGCCATTGAACTGAAGCAGGTGAGGAGAATCCACTTGTTTCTGAGAGGCCAGATGTTAAAGAGGCTCGTAAGAGTAAAACAACACCTGAAATCACTAAATGCTTTGGAAATTATTATTATTTATTTATGGTAGGTTTAGTGTACAGTTTTTTAAATTAATTAAATATTTAAAAATTTCACAGTTGTAATTTCTAATGTGGTAAACATTGATAGCTTACAAATAAAAGCTGTTAGGGGTCTTCAATAAGTTTTAAGAGTGTGAAGGGTTCTTGAGAGCCACACCTTTGAGAACTACTAGACCATGTAATGGCAGATAGATGGGAAAACAGTGAAAGGCTTTCTTTTCTTGGGCTCCAAAATCACTGTGGATGGTGACTGCAGCCATGAAATTAAAAGACACTTGCTCTTGGAAGGAAAGCTATGACAAACCCAGACAGAGTATTAAAAAGTGGAGACATTACTTTGCTGACAGAGGTCCATATAATCAAAGTCGTGGTTTTTCCAGTGGTCATGTATGAATGTGGGAGTTGGACCATAAAGAAAGTTGAGCACTGAAGAATTGATGCTTTTGAACTGTGGTGTTGGAGAAGACTCTTGAGAATCCCTTGGATTGCAAGGCAATCAAACCAATCCATCCTAAAGGAAATCATCTTGAATATTCATTGGAAGGACTGACGCTGAAGCTGAAGCTCCATTATTTTGGCCACCTGATGTGAAGAACCCACTCATTGGAAAAGAGCCTGATGCTGGGAAAGATTAAAGGCAGGAGGAGAAGGGGAAGACAGAGGATGAGATGGTTGGATGGCGTCACCAACTCAATGGACATGAGTTTGAGCAGGCTCCAGGAGATGGTGAAGGACAGGGAAGCCTGGTATGCTGCAGTCCATGGGGTTGCAAAGAGTTGGACATGACTGAGCGACTGAACAATAAGACTGTGTAATATGAAAAGCTTTTAGGGAAATACCTAGATGTCAACATGTATTTCTTCTACTTTTTATAGCATTTTTTTTTTAGCTGTTGCCCAGTATAATGCAATTTCTGTTTATATTTTTATGGGAAATCAGATGTTTCAATTTATAAATTATATGTTTGAAAATCCTTAAAAGTTATACTTACTGACTAGCTGCTTGTATCAATATGTCCATCCTACTTTATGCAAAATCCATTATTAATGATTCAGGTATATTCCCTTTAGAACTGTATTTCTTGTTATAGTAAATCATCTTAATGAGTTGTCTCTTTAAAGAATTTGGATTTATACGTTTTTAAAAGAATATCAATACTAGGATTTCCACTTTAATATCCTAAAATTTTGCACATGCTGTTCATTGCCAACTTTCTGTACCTGTTGAGTTCCTGCCTTTGTTTTAAGACTAAATTTAAGCTTCACTTTCTTTTTGAAGCTCTGCCTTCCTCTGAGAACAGCCCTCCTGCCCCCAACCCAGAGTTAGGTGCTGGCTTT